CAGCGTTAATAAAACTATTGTTTGAAGAGAAGTTTCATTCGATGGTTGAGGAGTATTTTAATAATTATCTTTTCATTGTATTATCTGCGACTAATTGAGAAACATCAAACGAAATCTATTTTACAAAAATGAGTGATGAACAAGGAAACCATGTCAATTTCCGTTTGAAACAGTTTATCGCGAAAACGATTCAAAATAGAAATAGTATTATCTGAACAAAGTTAATCTAAACTTTGATGAAGAGCTCAAAAATGTTGAAATATACAAGGTGTTCCATTTGAAAAAATTGAGTTCCACTTATTTTTTCATGAGATCAAAGTATCTGCATTTTTTGAAGACCCTGTATGAGGCAAATGAAAATATGACTCGGAGTGAAGATCCTCATAGTATCACTCCACTCCATTTCAAATTTGATCGTTTTAGTGCAAGAGAGTTCAAGATTATCAGCATTTATAAAAGTTCATGTTTGGTAAAAAAAATATCGAAATTAATTCATATCTTCTAAACGGTAATAGGTATAGGGAAATAGTATATGAATTTATTGACAAAGTGATAATGAATCATAATATGATATTATATACGGGGTGTTCCATTCCAAAAATCAAAGAATCCGCTACTTTATAGTAGAAGCGACAACGCCGCTTCGTCTCAAATATTTTAGGCGTGTAGGTCATATTGACTTATGTATACTGTGGAATTTCCAGGTTGATCCGTTGAATAGTTCGCCAGAAACGGCTAATTAACGCTCATCATGAAAAGCCCTGTATTCTTTTACATTTCAGGTATGGTTTTCTATGGAACGGAAGATTTCCATTACTATGATGTTAAATGATTAAAATACACTTGTAACTGAATTATATTGTTAACATCCTCTGAATAAAGATTTTAAAAGGTAAGGTAGTGTTTTGAAAGGTCACATAGGAGCAGTTTTGATCTAGTGCTAAATTGAAACGTAACAATCGATCTAGTTGCTGACAAGAAAGTGCAAGCACTAAGGAAGTCCACCCGAGCTGCAAAAAAGATCTTAGTACCTGAACAAGACTCTAAGAAGGATAGTAACGATTTGGAGATTGAAAGTCACAAGGAGGAACATTATTCATGTACACTCAGTAACGAATTATATCCCCGTTTCCGTGCAAAAGAAACATGGGTACGATGTCAGGCTTGTTTGAAATGGGCCGAGACCGAATGCCCCGGCGTATCTAAAGCAACAAAAGTATTTGTTTGCGATATATGCCAACTTCATTAGGCAGTTTTACACTATGTCATCTCACCAACAGTTGTATTGATAAGATGGCATGTGAATGGTCTTTTTTTTCAAGGTTGGTACTTCATTTTTTTGGTATATACCATAAATTGTTCGCCGAATCACATCTTTTGTAGCACCATCAACGTTTACGAATTTTTTATTCCATTGTTTTCGTTTCATTGCATGGTCAATGATATTCCCTATTTTAATGACTCGAAGAACTGTCGAACGAGATAGTTTCGTTAAATCGCATATTCTATTCACAACAGCATTCTGTGAAGTGTGACAGTCTTCCTTCTTCAAGCATTCATGAATATTCAAAATTACCCGCTGAACTTGAACATGTAAGTCCTTATTTTCAAATTCCGGATCCCTGTCGATTGACACAGATTCCTCACACGTAATATTATCATTTGTTTCAAAAGGTCTCTAGAAAGCCATATCTATTGTTGACAAATCAATTTGTATATACAGATATATAAACAGCTAACCCTTGTCTTTAGATTCAGTATCAATTTGTTTCTCCTGAAGATGCTATCTCTAGAAAAAGTATTCAAAAATCGGTTTGCAAAACCACTCACTACCTCACCTAACCCCACGAACATACGGCACTGATAAAGAAATATTGTGAAACGACAAAAAAATAGTATTCAGCCAGTCCAGCTAGCCGAGCCTTTACTTCTCAACTACATTTGATAACATGTTCACTAATTATCTGGGCTACTAGGGGCAACAGGCAAAAAATGTTTATGACTGTTGCCCCTGCTACTAGTAATTAAGTAAGCATGGAAAAAAGTATGCCATCTCAGGCATATCTCCCCTACCTATTGAATGACTAACACTCTGATATTAACGTGAAGCCGAAGCTACCGAACATAAAATCTAGAAATATATCTGTTTAAAAAAATCTGTTTTTCCGTTAACCAGCTGTCGCACCCCTACGAACGACAACCCTCAGAAGTCGAAACTTGTGAGAGCTAAGGATTAACGAGGTCTTACCTTTCAACGTGTGATTCCTAACACGGGTTGGACGATAGCAAGTGGAGATCGATCGTTCAGACTAGGGCTTGAACCACCGACCAACACGGCAGTCAATTCGAGTGAGTGAACAAAGCACCCACGCCGAACCGCTTGGCTACCGACCGACCAATATGCAGGTAGGTTCTTTGTATAGCGTAAATGAGCATCAAGAAAGGAAATAAGGAATTTCCACCCCCAAGGGGGAAAAAGTGTTCTATTGAATATCGTCAGTTCTGAAGTTGGAAACCTAAAATTTCGAAGTTGAAAACCTGAAGTTTTGAGTTGATTTAAAATATTGTAAGTATTTGTTTGAAAAGGTCAATCACGATACTTAATGTGAGAAACCGAATGAGCTCATTCAGGCTAATTTAGATTTTTATTGAAAATTATATATCATAAAAGTAAATCATCTCCCAAGTATCCCACAAAATTTTCCAGTTTTTATGTCAATTAACAACTGAGCAAGAGCAATCGATAATGAGATCGCCCGCGATCTCATGAATGTCTTTCCCGTACTTATGTGTGAAGGCAGATCATTGACATACAAGATGAATAGTAGCGGGCCTAGGATACTTCCTTGCGGTGTACCCAGTTCTATGATACATTTTTCTGATATTACATTTTCTGTCTGTACTACGAGCTGGCGATTGGTAACATATTAAATGACCCAGTCGTTCAGCGAGCCTCGTATGCCCAGCGAGTTGAGTTTATTAGACAATATCCGCAGATTCAGTGTATCGAATGCCCGTGATAGGTCAACGAGAATTCCTGACACGAAATAATTCTGTTCTAGTTTTTCGTATATGTACTGTATGAATTTTGTCGTTGCCGTTTCGGTGGATCGGCCTTTTCCAAAAACCATGTTGACACTTATGATGCAAGATTTCGTATTTATCTAAAAAAGAGGTTATACGATCATATGCAGCTTTTTCGATGACTTTGGAGATGGGAATAACCAGTGTAATTGCCCTGTAATTTTCTATTAGGCGCTCGTTCCCTTTTTTGAAGACTGGTATTGTCTTCGAAATTTTTAATAGATCTGGGAATTGGCCTGTGAGTAGAGGAAGGTGGATTATTTGGGTGAGATGAGGTGCTAAAATATATTTGCAATACTTTATTAATTTTACAGGTATTTCATCTAGACCAACTGAAGTCTTATTTTTGAGATTTGATATAATACTAATAACTTCGTGCTCACTATAGGGGTGAAAAAACATAGACGCATGATTGACTACTTTAACACTATCATTGTCAGATGTCATAGTTATCGCATTTCTCAGTGTATTCGCAATAGAGTTTGTGAAATGTGNAAGTTAAGTTTTCTTTGTCATCATTTCTGTCGTTGAGTTTTACCTTGCAAGTAAATAAAACCGAGTAATTATCATTCTGTGTTTTCTTCTTCAACTTATCACAGCAATAGTAACAACAATTAGGTAATCATTGGCTGTCGCGGGCCAGATTGATGACAGTAAATCATTGGCTGTCGCGGGCCGGATTGATGACACTGGCGGGCCGGATTTGGCCCGCGGGCCGTATTTTGGAGACCCCTGGTCTATTCTATTGGATCAATGTAGAGAGCATTTGTTTCTTTCGACCCGCTGTTACTTTTGTACCCGGTCTCCCCTACTATTTGAAACATAAACTTTCAAATATTGAAATGAAAAAAAAATTCAAATGAGCCAATTACGCGGGCGATGCCGCGGGCAACAACTAGTATCAATACAATACGTTTTTTCATTTCAATTTTCGTACAATATTCTCATGCGATGAGTTATGTTCCCTAAAGTTTTACTGACCTAAATGGCATCGCTGGAGAGCTAATACTCAGATAATGTCGTGATGATAACAAACCCTCATTCCAATATAATACTCACATATGATATCTCCGCACTTCATTTCTTGATGCTGTTCGTCTTTCCTTCAACAGATGCACCTTCATGGAAATGTAGAATTGTTCAAGCACATAATCAATATTATTTGTTCGGTGAGTTGTGAATTTCTCCCTATCAGCATCCAAAAGAGCTTCGTTTAGCGCTAAATAGTTTTTATTTATGCTTTTCCATTCATTTTTCATGAAACTTAATATTGCCAAATTTGATATGTAGATTCGTCTCCTGATTTTCAAAATCCTAAAATGAAGATAAAACAGTGATTCTTCATGAAACAGAAATCTGTGATTAGTGTTGGGAGTTTTGCAAATGCAATGCAGTATATATTCCGGAAAAACAAGCGCTGCTTTCTTAGTATCTTCAAACTCTCTACTATTGAAAAAAATTCTGTCGTGAATTGTGTCTATTACGAGTATTAAAGCAACACTTTATCGTGAGTTCACAAAACCGCAACAAGTGATTCGCTATGCAATGCCCTTTCATACTACTAATTATTGTTTTTTATGAGAATAATTCGAATCATATGACGTTCTGCTTATTTGATGACTAATATCACTAAAATTAAAAAAAAGGTTGAATATTGCTGGAGTTTTTCCCAACACCAAACCGTTATTTTGACACCTCGACACGTGTTTCCTTGAAGATGATCACTTGGTGATCTAAACACGTGT